TGGTCAACATATCCTTAAAACTTGTTTTCTTTTCTCAGGGTGGGTTATAAGTTGGTGGATTATGGTGGAAGTTATTATTTTAGGTGTTGGGGTTTGGTTGGTTCCAAGAAAAATTAGTGTCATTTTGCCATTCAGGGTTGTAAGTGCAGCTATGTGGATTGTAGTTAGGCTTAGATTGTTGGATAAATTATACATGTTCTATCTTAAAGTGATATTTTTCACTTGAACGGGGTTTTTTTTATAGATATCTCATGAAACAAAGAGACTTTGGATTGCATTCACATGACTGGTTTGGGTTGAGCTCTAAGGCTTTTATAGTTTTGGTTAGGGCAGCTAAATGAGAGTTTATAGAGGTGATTGCATCAATTTTAGATAAACTCATAGACTTCTCACTTACCTTTCTTTCCATAACCCATTAATAGTTTTTAGTAGCCATTTCTTCAATTAGCTCATTGGCCTTTTCAATAGTTTTACTCATGATTGCCTCTCAACAACTGAGTCTAAGGTGGTTTTCATGGGTGGTGTGAGACCACTATAGAAAATCTAGATTTGAAGCCATTGGGGTAGTCCATGATGTGGGCATTTCCTTAACAACTCCTTGAATATTCCCATGTGTCATATAGTGTTTCACCATCTACTTGCATAAATGTGGTGATCTTATTCCTAAGCTTAGTTGTTTTGGCTAGTGGGAAGAATTTTGCCAAAAACTTATGTACTAAGCCATCCCATGTTGTAATAGAGCCAAGTGGTAGTGATGTCAACCAACTTTTCGCCTTGTCCCTAATAGAAAGAAAAAAAGTTTTAGTCTAATAATATCATCAAAAACACCATTATGATGAAAAATATCACATAATTCAAGAAAATTTGAAAGATAAAGGTTAGGATCAACGCTAGTTAGTATTCTAAATTCGTTTTTGGGGTTTAGAAAGTCGATAAAATGAGTTTTTGTAAAAGAATTCAAAATTAGAATTCAAAATTATCTAAATATTCAATATTTGGATGCTACTATTCCATCCAAACCTTTATCATAGAGAGTTGCTTTAGCCTATTAGTCTTTTATTAGATTTATTCTATTCCTTGTAGTAAGTTTTCACTAATTTATCTTGGACTTTTAACATTTTTTTATCCTTATAATAAATAGAGGAGATGTATGATTGCATTACATATGTCTTGAAATTGGAATGATGATGAATAAATAATGATGTCCATAAAAGATCCTAGCTTTAATTCGAAAGGCAATATGGAATAATGGGGAACATGAAACGAAGATTGGTACCTATGGCTTTGACATTAAAGATGAAACTTTCGAAAAAAACACCAATGTCACCATGGAGAAAAATTAGATGATTATGAAGAAATAGGTGTTGGAAGTTGAAATTTAAAGAATACAATGTGGCAAAAAAAAGTTTTGTGGCTTTTTTTTTATTTACAACATTTAGGGGTGTATGACATTGATTGCCATTGATGCTTGCATTTAGGCATGACATTGATTTTCATTGATACTTGCATTCAAAGTATGATATTGATTTTCATTGATACGTGCATTTAGGCATTACATTTATTTTAATTGATACTCGCATTCAAAGTATGATATTGATTTTCATTGATACGTGTACTTAGGCATGACATTGATTTTAATTGATACTTGCATTCAAGATATTTGTTGCATGTAGAAAAGATATAAATATCAACTCTCAATTAAGGAAAAGGGAAAAAAATTCTAGGAACACTTGAGATTTTTACTTCTCGGATGAAAAAAACTTTCTACGATGAGATTTTTGACACTTGATTGAGAAAATTTTTTAGGATGAAATTTTTAACCTTTAATTAAAGAAAATTTTGTTAAAAGATTGAACACTCAAAGTAGGAAGAATTGTTAAGACACATTAAATAGTAATCAAGGAAAATAATGATTTTTTTTTAAAAAAGCCATTAAACCTTGATTTGAAGATAAGATTTTGAATTCATCTATGAACCTTTGAACTTATTTGCAAATGTTTGAAATCATTTATGAAACTTTTAGTGTGAATCCTGAACCTTCAGTGAGAATCTCGAAAACTTTTGAAGTGACTTTAAATTTGAATCTTAAGAACATTTTTGGTATGAATCTCAAATCTTTTGTTGTGACTCTAGGATCTTTTGATGTGAATCCCAAACCTTTGATGTGAATCTTTAAGACCTTCAATGTGACTCTAGATGAAAATCTTTCAGTGTGAGTCATGGACCTTCAATGCAAATTCGAAAACTTTCAATGTGAATTTCATGAACCTTTTGATGTGAATCTTGAACTTTCAATATGAATCCTGAAAACTTTTAATGTGACTCTTAATGCAAATCTCAAAAATCTTTTGGTGTGAATCTTGAATCTTTCGATGTGAATCCCGAACTACGATGTGAATCTTAAAGACTTTCAATGCGACTCCTAAAGAGAATCTTTTGGTGTGAATCTTGAACCTTCGATTCTCGAAAACCCGTGATGCGAATCTCGCAAACCTTTTTCGGGGGATAGTAGAATAGATAAAAAATTTTCACAAATGCTGAAATGGGGCTTTTGATTTTGGAAGGGTTCCAAGAGATTTTAGGTTGGGATTTTTTATGTATAGGTAGTCTAAGGCTAAGTAAAGAACATAGTTCGAATGAGGCATTTGTTATGGTGGTGGCCAAACTTTTGGACCTTAAGAGGCACAGGTTTTGGTTCAACTCTAAAGAGATCTATGACATTTCGTAAAAAAAATCCAAAAAACAAAAAAGGGGAGGAGAAGAGGGATTTTCTGGCACTTTTGGGGAATTTTTCCAATGTGGTGGCACATCGACCGAATTTTAGGATGTGCTTGAATTTTGTTTGCTATTTTTTTTTTCTCTGGGTAGAAAGTAAAAAGTTCGGGAGCTAACCCACAATCCAACTCAGGATTTGCGCAATCGACCCAAAAACTCCCTTTGCCAAGATCAGGGCAATCTGATTGAACCACTGACTGAACCAAACTAGACCATTATAGAACTAGGTTAAACCGCTTCTAAACCAGATTGGACTACCAATTGTTGACTGATGTTGACTTGCGTTAACTGGCATTGACTTGTTGTTAACCGTCCAAATTTGGTATTTTTTATTTTTTATATTTAATTTTTAATTTTGTCATTATGGTAATTTTTTATTATTATTCATTTTATTTTTGTAAATATTCCAATTTATAATTTAAGACATTATAAAAAACTAATAATAAAATAATAAAAACAAAATTTTGAATAATAATAAAAACAATAAATAAAATGATAAAATAAAATAGAGTTACAAGTGGTGATTTTATTGATAATCTCGAATTAAGAAATTTTCTCAAAAATTTACCAAAAGTATTGAAAATATTTTTAAAAATTTTTCTAATAAAATTTTTATAAAATGTTTTTTAGTAAGATAAAAATTCTTTCTGGCTATAAATATTAAATATTCATACAAGAAAATTTTCTAAAATATTTTTGAAGTGTTAAAAATATTTTACAACTTTTCAAACACAATAATAATAATAATAATGATAATAATAATAATAATAATAATAATAATAATAATAATAATAATAATATAATGAAATCTCGTAATGATGGAACTAAAATAAAATCACCAAGTGATAATTTTATTAATAATTCTTAGGAGAAGTATTTTTCAAAAATTTACCAAAACAGCTTGTACGATTTTTTAAAATCATTTCAATAAAATAATAAATAATAAATAATAAAATTCTTAATAATAAATTATTATAGTAAGTAAAATTTTCTTATGATGATGTGAGAATAAAGTCACGTCAAAACTCCTAAGTGAGAAATTTCTCCAAAATTTTTTCAAACACGTTAGAAAATATTTTGAGAATTAGACTGAGAATTTTTATTTACTTCCATAATAATTGAACAACTAATAAATATTTCAAAGTAGATTAAAGTTCTTATTGATGATTAAAGAAGTTACAAGTGCTAATTTCCTCAAACTTTTAGATAAGAGATTTCTTTAAAACATACAGAAAGTGTTGGTATGATTTTTTAAAAATACTACAACCAAAAAATTATAGTTTACTTCGTTACTAAAATATTAAAATAAATCTGACGACGTAATCCCTTTAAGGAAATAAACGATTTCTTTGAATGCTATTGAAATAAGAAAATTTTTAAGTTATATTGAAAGTATCAAAAATAACTTAAAAAATTTTTAATATTAAAATAATAAATAATATAATAATAAAATATTAAGTAAAAGGCTATTTGAACAAGACAATTCTAGAATCTTATAGAATTAATTGGTATTATCTTCAAACGAGTGATGTAAGGATGCTATAAATTTTTTTATACATAATCTTATTTTTTAATCTAATCTTGATTTAATAGATTAAAAAATGAGATTGATAACCAATCATACCTTAACAAAAAAAAATTAATGAAAACTCTTGATTTTTATGTCTAATTATTAAGTTTTTAAATTGATACATAATGATAATTTGTCTTTGTGAATAAATATGAAAAATAATAATTCTTTTATTTTATTTCATTTAAATTTTTTTTGTCATACCAAAAAACTTTAAATTTTATTTTATTTTCACTTTTTCAACTTTTTTAATTCAACATTTTACTTGTTCACTTTATCAAACTCACCGTAAGAGGAAGGATCAACGACTACTTCCCTCTCAGATCTCTATATATTTTTTTAAAAATTTTTATCTTTTTACTTTTCTTTAGAATAGTCACTATGATCTATATTGAATTTTTTAAGTGGATTGTGATTTTTGTAGCCGACTATTTAGAATTCTCTTAAGTCGATGTTGTAACCGACCCAAATTCCTAGACAAGGACGTGAAGTGTCTAGAGTGGTGTATTTTGGCGTGAGAATGAAAGAATGAAAGTGACGTGGAGCGGGAGGTGTAGCGAGTGAAGCAGTAGGGATTGAATAACAAATAGATGGCTAGAGGACTGGGATATCTATCAAACTTGGACTTGGAAAGCTGTGATCTGAGTCAGCTTTGAAAACTTAGAGGTATTGAATTTAAGAAAAACCAGCTTGTTGAATCTCTAATGGTGCTTAAGACTTTCAAAAGATTAGAGATATTTTATTTGAGTTAATATTTTGGTTGGAATATTACTTCAAAGATGGGGGTAGAAATGGCTTTGGATGTGGCTTTTAACCCATGCAGATTCTTCCCTTTTTAATGCTTCTTGGCTTGCAATTTATTATAAGTTCATCTTGGCCAGAGTTTATCAGAGTTTTATTGTAAATTATGGTCAAAGAATTTTAGTAACATGTTATATGTTCTTCAATTTCATTGTTTTCTTCTCTTCTTTGATAATGCTTGCCTTTTTTTATCTGAATATTTACTTGAATTCTTATACAACTTTCTTAATTACTTTTTCTTTGAAAATTTTCCCTACACCTCACTTCGTGAATTGTGAGGGTTGGATTCCAGAATTATTCTTATGTCGTAGACCCCATTTAGATGACATCATGTGATTTTCGAAAGACATGGTACATCTTAATCTGTTGCTTCGATGACTAGATAGTCTAAAAATAGAAATTGAAATTGGACATTATTTCCATTACAACTTTTTTTTGTTATATTAAAATGATAAAATTCTAATACAAATAAAGAAAAAGAAGAAGTTTGATTTGAAATCAAACTTTTAATGTTTTCTCAATCGTTTTTAACCATTAAGTTAAAAGCTTGGGACTTGGGACCTCTGTTCTTCACCAACATAAATAATAAACTAGTTTAAATCTTGAACCATTTAGATGTGTTAAACTGAATTACACCTATCTTCCTACCCACCTGCCAACTCCCCAGGATTATTTAGATATGGTAGAATCAAATTCCAATTTCCAAGTCTTCAAGGAACAATATTCATGTCTTGCAATCTTCTGACCCACATTTCAATACTTCTAAGAGTGTCAGCATAACCAAAGAAACCAAAATCTCGACTCTTTGTCATGTTGGAAACAAGTTGAAACTCCAAGTTTAAGACTGCCTTGATTGCAGCAAAGGCAGCGATCATGTCCTGCATTTTCGTCTTTAAAAGCCCATGTTCTTCCACTATCTTATCCCAAGCTGAAGCATTGTCCTTCATCATCTCAACCACGTCAAACTTTTCCTTTTCATCAAACGGGACAAATTCTACATTAAAAACCTTGCACAACTCCTTCCAGAAGCTTTTCCAAGTAAAAACATCGCCATTGGTGCAATTAAAGGCTTGGTTCTTAAACTTCTCCGAGATTGCTGCCCAGATTTGTTGCTCTGCTAGCACTCTTGCATCAGATGCTTCATTGAAATGCTCCCATGTGTATCCATTGCCAGGGTATCGAAATGGCAAGCCTTGGTGCTTACAAATATTAGCATAAACCGCTAAACAAAGCAATGTATTGTAAACACTCCTCGAAGACGCACCAATTATTATAGAAGGACGGTGGACAGAATATGAGATAGATGGTGCATAAGAAGCCAAAACATCTTCTTGTGTATAATAGAAATTAGGGTAAGGTAACCTTGGCATGTCCTCATGGAATGGTGGCTCGTGAGCGACAAGCTGGTTTGCCAATGAAGGATCAAACACTGGACCAATGTAATGCTTGGTGCCTGTTTGCAAGGTGACATGGCAAAGCGGGGAAGATGTACCTGATTTGAGAACATCAACCACATTTTTGAGCATCGTTGAATTGATAAGGATGTTTGCTTCTTCATTTTCACGAACTTGGATTGCGACCCAGAAGACATGTGTCACTTCATTGGAGATTGGGAAGAGGTTTTTGATTGTGTCGTCAAGGTTTGTAGCGTCAAATGAGATGAAGTGGTCAACAATGGAGGAAGGAAACCAGCTTGGCTTAGATCTTCTGGCTGTACCGTATACTTTCCATGGGCCGCCAAGCGCTGTAGGCTTTTTGAGAGCCTCCGCCAAGCTCAAACCTGCCATTCCTGTAACGCCAACGACCAGGGCTACAGAAGCGTTGGGAATTTTCGCCATTGTAGATATGTAGATAAGCTGGATAATTAAGAGAAGCAATATGGTGCTGTAAACAAGGATTAGCTTTTGTCACTCCACTTTAATACGGTGGCCCACCGCTACCGACTCCCTACAACTAGCATTTAATTCATCCATGCTTTTTTTTTCTTTTTTCTTTTTTTACTCTTTTCCCGGTTAAACAGTATTTCCTTTTAAGTTGCCACGTGTCTTTTCTTGGTTGGTTTTTCTTTTTTCTTTTTGCTTTTCTTTTATTCTTTTTGTTATTTTTTTCTTTAAAAAATAATTTTTTTAAAACTATAAAAATATATATTTGTAAAAATTATATTTTTATACGTAGAAACCACTTATGTCAATTTTTTTTTATTTTTAACCCTCTAACGATAATTACGAAGATACATTTTATCATAATAATAAAAATACTTTGTCAAAATTATTATAATGTTCTTTTTAATATATTTATCAAAACAGCTCTCTTACCAAAATTTGTCAAAGTTAATATAGTATCCTTATTATTATAATTACGAAGATACCCTGCAACCATTGTTTACCAAAAATATTTTGATACCTCTCCTACTATAATTATGAAAATACATTTCATATTATAATTTGTCAAAATTGTTGTGATACCTTTTCGTTATAATTATGAAAATGTATTTTTATTACTTCATAATTTATGTATTAAATTTTAATATCTATACAATTATATAAAATTGAACCTGATAAAAATTATCATAATGCACTTTTAATTGCTTAACGAATGAATGAATGACACACATCCAAATCAACTATAATGCCTCTCATTTTATAATTAACTAAAATTATTATAATGCTCCTATTAGCAAAATCACTAAAATACCTCTTTTACTATAATTTGTCAAAGTTATTATAATATTTTGCAACCATAATTATAAAAATGCCTTCCTACCATCATTGAATAAAATTACTATAATGCTACTCCTACCATATTAAAATTATTGGTTTTTTTCCTTAAAAAATTAAATTGAATGAGTGATGATATTATTAGGCTTTGATTCCATAAGTAAATGGGATTGAATTTGACAATTGATCGATGTCGGTAATAGGTAAATATTATGTCAAAAAATTAGATTATCATATATGTATTAGTGGGTTTTAATTCAATTTATATAATTTTTTTAAAGCAATCTCTCTTATTTAAAATAAAAGCCGATATATGTTCAATTATGATTGAGTAACATAATCTGAGCATCTTTTTTTTAAAGGATTATATATTCCAAAAAAAATTAAAAAGCAATAAAATACTAAAAATATTAATTTTTATTATTAAATAAAAAAATATAATTTATATTTCATCAAAATAAAAAAATTTATAACCAAGGCAAAGCTGAGTGGTTCTTCTAGTCATTTTATTTATTTTTCAAAATATTAATATCTATATTAACATTAGTATTGATATTAATATCAATCAATATTATATATAATATATATAAGTATCATCTCTAACATACAAATAATCAATGACGCATATACCTTTAAAATTTTATTAAACTAACTATTATGTTTTTAATTAATAATCAACTCAACTTTGAGTCACTTTGCCAGATATTAAAGCTGATATTTAAAGATTTTGGATTCAAAAAAGTTTATGCACAAAGTATTTTCTTCAGTCATGTAAGTATGAGGGTAATGATTCAAAGGTAGATTAAAAATTTTAAAAATATTCTTAACTAATAAAATTTTATTAAATGAAAATATTAACTAATTTTATTTATTTTCTTATTAACATTAAAGTTCTTATTAATTAAAGTAAATTTTACTCGGATGATAGTTTATTATGAAATTAATATTAATAATTTTTTATTTATCTATTTCTTTATTAACCTTAAACTTTTTACTAAAGAAAATTGTTTCCCTAATATATAATTTAATAAAATAAATAATGACTATTTTGGTCTCTTTTTTTTCTTAACAAAGTTATATTTTAAGTTAACTTAACATGGTAAATCCTTAATAAATATGGATGGATCATTTTTACATGCATGCATAGTGTTTGGTGAATTTCTGTAATTTTTACATTCCATAATTTTTACATTTTTTTTATGAAGTTATATAAATTATACTCATAATCAAATAATTTTTACTATATATATCAACTAGAACATCTATGCAAGAAATTAATAAATAAAACCACTCAAACAAACAAATCAACAAATATAATTGAACTAAATTCACATATGACAAGACTTAACCTGAAACTTAAATATTTTAGGATTTCTCTTTGCTATGGAGATAAAGTCTCATGACCTTTTTTTCTTTCTTTTCCATTTTATTATAACTTGATACTTATGACCAATGTTATCTATACTTTTAGATAATACTTGGCTTAAAGAAAACAAAACAATATGAACTTTGTTGTAGAATTTGTGATCTTTTTGTAGCTTTCCTTTTTACACTTTGAGTAGAACAAAATAAAACCTACAATGTAGAATGGAAACAGCTTTAAGGTGTACTACTAATGTCACTATCCTTAATGCTTTTGCCTTTATAAATAATAGTATGCGAAAGATCGTTGAATCGAAATGTCTCTAAAATACAATGAAACTTATGTTTGATTTACTTTGCACTAGTAAAATCAAACCACTAAAAGCCCTTGATAAGAAATAGAAACACTTTATCTTTAACAAGGTTTTCTACAGCAAACAATGCCAAAAAAAAAGCCTTTATTTGTGAAAGATTAGAGAATAGAAAGGAAGAAATATGAATTTTTAAATTTTGTAAAATGAACCCATAACAATCTATGTTTATAAAGATTGAATCCTAAGGTTGTGGCTATTTGCTTGTGTTGTTTCAATCAAAGATCACTTGTTTTGGTTAGATAAACTTTTTTTTGAATAATTAAAGACAAATTGGTTTATTAATCTAATCAAACTTTTCAAACCAAGAAAAACCATTTTTCACATTTATAAAATATATAATTTTTCATACAGAGCATCAACTTAACCTAGATGGCAATCGAATGCCTCTTTGAATTTTCATTTTCTAGAATGTTATCAAAGTAGGACAGTTGACTACTATAAGACTTACATAATGCAATCATCACTGAGCAATTGACTATTTCATATGGTAGTCGACTCTTTCATTTCTAGAATGGTTCATCTATTAAACAATTGACTTCTTTTTTATAGCAATTGATTGCTATGGCCTAATTCAAATTCCAAAAGACTTTCAATTGATAGTAGTCTATTATTCTAGGATTAGGAACCGATTGTCTAATTTTCAACCATAACAATCAATTACCTTAGGTTGGCTACCGACTGTTAATTTATACAGAAGCTATATTTAGCTTTTGTTTGTTAAAACAGTCGAATCCATGCCAATCACTACAAGAAAATGATGTTTTAGAGACAGATTTGTAGTGGTCATTCACTTAAAAACACCGTTAGCTTCTGTGTTTTTATAAAACTTAAGGCGTTTATTATCAAAATATCACTAAATATTTAAAGAGCGGCATTCTTACTTATAAATGTCACCCAAGACTTGTTATCAACAGCGTTTCTTGACTAAAATGCCTTGAATAATCCTGCTTTAAAAAATTCAGTAAATACGAAAGGCGTGTTTTTGGCAGAAAACGCCTACAATAATCACTTAAAAAATTATATGAGATTATTAAAGGTATTTTTTTACAAGAAATGCCTTTAATAATTGGACCAATATTTTCCACAAGCTTATTAAAGCTATTTTTGTTCAAAACAGCTTCAATAAATAGCATATCAACATATTGGGATCATACGGATGTTAACCATAAAGTTGTAGGTTCGATCATTCCCTTTAGCATTTTTTGGGTTTTTCAGAGATTATTTATAATTGATTATTGTTGGTGTTTTTTTTTTTTGGAAAAGCATCTTCACCAATTGCTTTAAGAAATTTTGCTTAGATTATTGAAGGTGTTTTTTTTGCAAACAAACACCCTTAATAATCCATAAAAAAATATATGAGCTGATTATTGAAAGCATTTTTGGCCAAACTCGCCTTCTATACTCCAATCAATAAATTTTTGTTGTGATTATTAAAGGCGATTTTGGTAAAAAAACGTTATTAATAATCCATAGGCAACAGTTTGAAAGGATGGTTGAAGGCGTCTTTTGGGAAAAAAAGCCTTTAATATTCCATATGATAAATTTTAATAATTAGATTATTAAAAGCAGTTATATCCAAAAACGCCTTTAATAACATTTTGTTAGGGATTATTCAAGGCATTACCCGTAGGATAACACCCTTCATAATTCATTCGATTAATTTTTAGTTGGTATTATTGAATGCATGTTTTTACTGAAAATTTGTTTGGATTATTGAAGGCGGTTATATTTAGAAATACCTTCAATAACATTTTGTTAGGGTTTATTCAAGGCGTTATCCATAGGAAAATGCCCTTTATAATCTATACTTGTAATTTTCAGTTGGTATTATTGAAGGCTTTTTTCTAAAGGCCTTCAATAATCCATATAGAAAAGATGCGACGAATTCTTAAAGGTATTTTTTTCTCAAAATGCCTTTAATATTCCACACAAATAATTTTTGGGGTGATTATTGAAGGCAATTTTGGTTAAACACGCCTTCAAAATTTTCTGTTAGGGTGATTCAAGGCGTTTTCTTACTAAAAACACCTTCATCAATCTTATAAAAAAAACATATTTGATATTGTATATGTCAAATCAGTTGTAAGTTTATACCCAGAAAACGTTTGTTGTTAGTTGTATATTAATGCCCATAAAACATTTGATTTTTATATGTGATACTACGAATTATATTTTGGAATTTACATAATGAACATTGTTTTATTTCAATAAATTGACACATATCTAAAATTAAAACTAATAACGTTGCCTTATTAATATACTTTTCTGAAATATTCGTACTGATTAATTTATTAAGTACACATAGTGTATTCATATTAAGTATAACAATAATATTAAACCAATACCCTAATTTACAAACTTAAAATTTCCATTCAACATGGCATGTTCAAAACATTATAACAATTTGTTCCTTATATATTTACATTCAACCAACAATGTCTAACTTGAAGGTTTATCAACATTGATAAATGATAATACATAATCACACCATTCTTTACGGACTTCATGTAGTTCTTCTTCCGTGAAGCTTTCTTTACTCTCTTACTAAAAAAAAAATCAAAAGTAATAGTTTACGAAAT